CCGGCTAGTTCCCACACACTAGGACAGATAGGAGGAGAGAGGGGAAGTATCTGGCGACGCGCACAAGCTGCGTGAGTGAGTGAGTGAGTATATTCTTGACACACACACACGCTGCGTGAGACACACACACACACACACACTCGCTGCGTGAGCTTTTTTTGTGCGTCTGAGGACGGCGTCTGAAGACGACGGGTCGGCCTCTGTATGAATGCCCGACACCGAGCTCGCCTCCTATGGCGGGTCCACCGGTGTGACCAACGCTGGCGACGCCTCGCTCGCCGACCCCGCCGTCAACTCCGTCGGTCTCACGTGCGGCGGCGGCGGCGCCCCTGTGTGGTGCGCGGAGCCGCCGCCGCCGCTCACCGAGCTCTGTGTTTCCGAGGATCCGATCGAGGCCTCGGGCTCCGCGAGCAACGAGACGAGCCCGGCGTCTCTGCTCTTTCTCCACCCTTGTGCAGCCGTGCTGGCGCTGCTCCTCGCGGCGTGCCTTGAGCTTGGGCAGGTCAAGACGAAGCGGGTGAAGGGCCGCAGCCACGAGGCGATCTCCGTACCCTTGCTCGCCAGCAAATGTGCTCTCCGAGTTGGCATTGTGATCCTCTTCTTCCTGCAGGGCGCGCGCGGCATACCAGCGGCTCCGCTCCAGGTCACTGTGGGTGGCGGCCCTCTTCCTCCCATGCACGCCGGCGGCGAGTGGCGGGCGAACGACGGATTGGCGAACGCTTCTCGAGTCCCAACCAAGGAGTCTGTCAAGACATTCGCCGACTGCTCGGCCGGCATCACCCCAAACGGGGCCCGCCAGGTCTGCTGCAGCGCTGCGTGCGGGCTGTGCGGCGCACGCGATTGCTCGAGTCGGCCCGGCGGGCCGCGCCAGTGCTGCATGCGCGCTATTGTGCGTGCGGGTCGGGTGTGCGAATCACGGGCGGATGTGGCCTGCATCCTGCGGGGCAGCAGCAACTACATCGGAGGCGACGGCAAGGACCCCAAGTTTGCGGCGTCCACCCCTCTTACGGCTTCTCGCCCGCCCTGCTCCCCCCCTGCTCGAGCGCCGTTTGGGGTGATGCCGACGTGCGCCGTTGAACTTGTGGAGCAGACGAGCCGGGCCCCGTGCACACTTGGCCGGAGCTTTGGTTGCCTCGACAACAGTAGCATATGGGTCAAAAACTGTCGTGGCAGCTTCAAATGCTCGCCAGATGGCGAGGTATTTGATTGCGGATACCCACCTGGCCAACGTCGATACCGCTGCCACTGTGATTCCGAGCGCGTGTCTGCTCAGCAAAGCCGGGGCACCTTTGCGCACCCCGTATTCGTGTATGCCGCCCGCGTCTTTGCACCGCCGATGCCCAAAGGATGGGGATACACTGGGCACCAGCTGCAAGATATTGCTTCGAGCTTGGTCCTGGCTGAGCTGTTCAACTGGACTGCGGCCCGACCAACCGGCATGCAGCTCGACCTGCCCTTCGACGCGGAAGGTCAGCTGCATGCGCTGCCAGCACAGTGCATCTCGGCAGCCTACACGCAAGGTACTGGCTGCTACGCCAACCAGCAGACAACAGTGCTTAGTAAGAGCGCATGGGATGGCTACAGCAGCTTTGACCTGCTACACCGTCATGTGAGGCGGCAACTATACGATCGCCCTGGACGTTGCGTGTGCGTCACTTGGGGGTTCCGCGTTCATCTTCACCAGCTTTACGCCTTTGAGCAGTCGGGCTACGCTCCGGCCGGGGCGTACAATCGCACCGCCACGAAGCTGCGGCAGCTCGTTCCCATCCAGCTGCCGTTGTGCGCACCACCGTGCACGCATGACCTCGCGGTACATATCCAGCGGGGCGATGTGGCAAGGTTTCTCCGTGGCCACTTCAACAGCACGCTCACCCGCATCCGCCTGGCAATCGCGCACACGCAGGCGCAGAGCATCGTGTTCCTCACCGAGAAGCGCAACAGCGAGGATGTGTTTGCTCACGCGTGCACGGGGGTGCAGCCTTTGCGTGGACGGTGCGACGTCGTCTCGAGCACACTGCATCATGACGTCTCCCTTGGCGTTGCGGCCAGAACTTTTCTGGTCGACTCAACCTCGAGTGTGACCTGGCTCATCTACCATCTGCGCGATGCCGCTGCGCCCAGCTTGCAACTTCGAAACGTCATGCACTTCTTTGCGTGCACTGGGGTGCCCAAGCCCGCAAACCTGCAGGCTCTTCCTCACTCGCCCTGTCCGGCCCAAACGGTGCTCTGGGGCCGGCCCGAGAAGCCTGTGGGGCACCACCCGCAGGGGGCGGCGCCAGTCAATGCCGACGTGTGGCGCGCCTTGTACGACTCGTCGACGCGCACCTCACAGAGAATAGCCGAGTGGACGCGGCGCGGTGAGGCGCAGCCGCCCTTGAGCGATGTCGACGTACAGGACCTGCTCGCACCTTACACGTCGGACTTGTGCACGGGCAACGGCTACAAGTCCTACCGCGCCGAGCTCTCCAAGAGCAGCCTCGGCTTTCCCCAACTGCAGCGCCATCACTTGAGCGCACCGCGCAACTCGCGTCTTCTCTTTTACGGCCACTCGTTCATGCGGCAACTGTTCTGGGCGATCGCGCCGGCGTGGTCGTTCGACAAATCGTCGTTCCAGGTGAAGATCGATGCCGACAAGATGCGCAGATATTCGGTCGATATCCGACGCACGCCCAAAGGGAAGGGCTTGAAGTCGCAGCACTTTAGCGAGTATTACGACCGCGAGCGCAATGTGACTACGGTGATGGTGAGCAACAACAACCTGCTGCAAAGCACGGGCGCCATCAAGAGCAACGCGCTGGAAGACTTCATGAGGAGATATGCCTTCGACGTCGTTTTCTACATGGATCCTCACGCCGAGTGCGTGTACGACTACCTGCGCGTCAAGGAGATCCTGCGCTGGAGCAACTACACGCAGTACGCTTGCATCAACCTCGAAAAGTTCGAGGAGCGGCGCCAGCACGCCTCGGCGTCTTTTGGGCAATACAAGTACTTGCCGACGAAGGAGCGCGACAAGCAGCTGCGTCAAATTACACGCAAGCACGCACGCAAGGCCTGGATTGAGGTGTGGCCTTGGGGCAAAACAAAGGGCGTGCCGCGAGGCTGCGCGAGCGGCACCACAGTGCAGCCGACCAAATTGCCCGACGGGCCGTCCTGGGAGGGCGTCGTCGTCGCGGGAGCGTTTGCGAAGAAGGCATGCAGCAATAATGACAAAGCATGCGGCAGCAAACTCGCTGCCCATCAGTGTCAACCGTCGTGGCTGCAGTTTGCCACACGCGCCATGGTTCTCGCCGCCAACTTGAGCGTTTACTACGCTGATGAGTCGAGCGGTGCTCGCGGCAAGGAGGAGCTTCATCATGCTGCACCGCCGCCGAGCGGCTGCGTGGGCAACATGCACGAGTTTGACGCTACCGGAGCACTGAGTGCGAGTCCTCGGTGAATGTTGTCGGCATATACCGGCGGCGTCGGCGTCGTCATCCCGAGCGTCAGCTCCAGCGGGCGTCATGCCGGTGTCGATCGGCGGCCGGGGCATCGGCGGCACGCGCGGGGCCGGCGCCGGCAGTTGGACCAGGCGCGGAGGTGATCGATCCAGGCCGTGGCCTTGCCGTTCGTCGCCTTGGCCCCGCGTGCCACAACTCATACCGTGGCACGACCAACCGGAGGGGTTGCGTGATCGGGACGTGGATGTTTGGTACGCCCGCAGGATGGGCCGGCGTGAACAAGATCTACTTTGGGCGCGTGCGGCAGCTGGTCGCCGAGCGCGATCAATGGGGGGTGTCAAACCTCAAGATGCTGTGTTCACCAGATCAGGACAGTATGCAGGACGTGCTCGATGTCGCTAATTCGTCGTTGTTCGGCTGGTTGCGGGTTCGGCTCGCAAGCCGCCTACGGCAACAATCCTAATTCGAATGCTCGCCTGAAAAAGCACGGCTTTATTTTACCATTTCTGATTGCCCCCTGAAGAGCAAAATAATGCGGCAGCATTTCGCATTTGTTGCTGTGCGTGGCATAGTTTGGGCAGCCATTGTGAAATAGAGAGGTTATTACTGAATTCTACCTACTTTACAGGGTCCACACCTAAAGCCGTACAGACAGTATCCTGGCTACTGCCAGGAGGTTGCTTACAACTGTAATAACAGTAGACAAGTTTAGTAGACGGCCTCCAAGCACTTACTTCGCTCTATCAGAATATCACTTCCGTAGAGTGTCCCGGCGAGTTGTCGACAAAGGCTGCCGAAAAGGTTCAGTTGATTGAGAATGTGCTATTTATGAAATAGTATTTAAACACAACAACTCTCTCTTCACAGCAGACAGGCTCGACACAGGTGCGAACTGGCGCGTGCTAGCACTATCACAGGCACACGATGAAATAGTAACAACACCCAAGCATGTGGGGGACGATCGCTGGCGAGCGCCAGCGCGTCCCAAGAACGGTGGGGTGCCCTCGACCGCGCGTCCAAGTCACTTGGGCTGGCGAGCGAGCGGCACACGCCTTTGGCTGCCGGTGGCGGCGGCGGCGGCGATGGCATCCGCGCCCGCGGAGCCAAGCGGATTGTCGCTGAGATTGAGAAGGTCAAGTTGCGACGACGCCTCGCTGCGTAACCAGTGGCCGAGCGTCGGCGCGTCTGCTTCCGTGATGTTCTTGCCGCTCGCGAAGATTGCGGTGGGCCGCTCGCGAAGAAAGTCTGCAAGCGACGGGGCGACCTGGTTTCGGGATAGCAGCAACGCCGCCTTTCTATCGGCCCGAAGCGTTTCTAGCAGCTCTGCCAGCAGCTGCCGCATGCATGTACTCGTCCTGGCAAGGCGGCCCAGGTGGCTTGGCTCGAGCACGTCGCTGGAGTACGCGAGCCGATCAACTCGATGAGGTCGTGCTGCGTGCTGCGTGTCATGCCACCCCATCATCCCGAAAACTCCGACGCAACCGCCAAGCGCCATCCGCCATTCCAGTTTCCCTTTGAGGCTGTCGCTCCGAGAAAGCTCGTATCGCAGCTGCGAGAAGGTATAGTTTAGAGCTCTAACATGATAAACATCAAAAATCAATTCGCCTCACCTGCGATAGATTCAGCGTGCACACATGATCTCTCATCCCTAGTCTCTCTCGCCGGTCTCGGCGTCATGCGGCAACCTCATGGTCGGCGTCATGTAGATCAAACGATCCGATACTCTCCTCCTCGTCAGGCCCTGTCGCTAGAGGGCCCCATCGCAGCTCGCATCAAAATCGCCCGAGGGCGGGCCAAGCTTGCTGACTCTGTCTCACAGCTCGAGGGACTCGAGGCCCGCCGAGCAGCCCGACCGCATGAAAGGGATGCCTATTCCTCAGCACTCGTGGTCAGCAACCACGACTCATGAACCGAACAACCGCACGGCCGAGAGGCGTGCCGGCGAGCGCAGGGGCGCCGACCACACCTGTTCACAACCGGACGTGTGAAGAGACGCTGTCGACAGCACACCGCAGCGCGCGGCGAGCCGGCAACCCTTCGCAACGCCCTCGCCGCCCTCGCCGGTCGCCCCGCCGGAAGCTCCAGCGGCCGCGGCGGCGGCGATGGTGGCGGCGGGGGAGGTGGCAGCAACGGTGGCGGTGGCGGTGGCGGTGGCGGCGGTGGCGGTAGCGGCGGTTGCGGCTGTCGCGGTGCCGGCGGCGATCTTGTCTCGCAACGCGAAAAGAGTGTCTCGCGAGAAATCAGCGCCAGAAGCATCGCCGAGCAGCCTGAGGGTCAACCGGCGACTGCAATCTCGCGCGATCTCGCGCGATCTCGTGGCATCTCGGAGGGTCCTCTCACCGGCTCGCAGAGAGGCTCCGCCCGAGAAGGCCGCCCTCCGCCTCGCCCAGCCCAGCAGACAGCTCGCACCTACACTCCCCCGTGCACAGGGCGCCTCTCAGCAGGGCGCCACACACACAGACAGCACCCCGGCCCGCGCCGCAGCGCGCACCCTCCGCCCTCGTCGGCGAGCGCGCGCTCGATCAGCGTCAGGATCTGGTCGGTGCAGAGGTCGTCCTCGCACCCCTCGCGAAACCCCTCCCCCTCGCCGCCGCTGGCCGCCGCCGCCTCGCCCGCCGTCGCAAACGACACGCCGCCCTCGGGCGACGCGGCGGCCGTGGAGACGTTGCTGCCTCCTCCCCCCACGTCCCCTCCCATGCCCCGGTCTCCCATGCCAGACCCTTGTCGCTGATCTTCTCCTTCACTCCATGTCTAGCTGCACGCTCTGCTGATTGAGGTCGCGGTATCACCACTTGTTTGTCGCGAATGGCTTGCTAGACGCACGCCATTTAGGCCGCTGTAGCACTGGATATGCGACGGTTTCTGCTGGAGCTCGCGCGAAACATCGTGTGGGTGGTTGTGGCATCACCTCTTCTCTAGGTCCAAGCGGCAGGCTTCGCACATAACTCCCTTGGCCTCCTCATCCTCCAG